TTTATTTTATTTATTATAGCTCTCTAGTAGTAGTAGTAACGTTACTTACTATATATATATATATATATATATATATATATATATATGTATGAGTAAGGTTTCTATAAGGTTGCAACCTTAAACAATCCAATTAGAGGCACCTCTAAATTTTATCATGGCATATAATTTTGTTGTAAAATATTTTAGGATTATCTTAAAAACTATTTTCATATCTAATTAGAAAATTTTAAACTCCAAAAATGATTAAAATCAAGAAGATCTATAAATATATAAAAATCTTGAAAATAGATGGTCTAGATATTGCAAGATGCACTATTTTTGGGACTCAAAAACGTTTTTTTTTTTAATATTCATACATCTCGATGTCGAGATGATCAATTAGAGGGTTTTTCAACATTCAAACAGCCTTCCGATAGATTTTGGGTTGCATATGTGATTCTACATTTTAAGATTCTTATATAAACTTTTCCCAATATATATATATGGATGTGGTTTGTATAGAGCCGAGGCTCTAAACAATCAAATTAGAGCCCACCTTCAAATAGTGTGGAGAAATATGTTTTCAATATTGGAAAGTTTTATGACAGCCTTAAATTATATTTTCAACTTTACTTATAAAATTTAAAGCTTAAAAAATAGTGTAAATCGAGCCGATCTATGAAAACTTGAAAACCTTGAAAAATGACGGTCCAAAAATGCGTTACAAGATGCACTATTTTTAAAATTTGAAATCCATTGTTTTCTCATGTCCATGTATCTTGATGTCGAGAAGATCAATTTAATGATATTTGGATATCAAAACAACCTCTTCTAGTGAATGTTTTGATATAGGCTTTAATTTGATTGTTTGGCGTTTAGGCTCTATATATATATATATATATATATATATACAAAACGCCTTTAAGTGAAAATGAAGAGTGATTTTTTCTACTTTTATCACCATCCAAACTCCATCGCACGGTCATAGTTGTTTAGTAGTTTTTCAATTTTTCATTTTCTTTTTACTAATCAGAATGATCTGAAATTTGGAGCATGTATACATCTTAATGAGACACACCTAATAAAAATATGAAAAAAATAATTCGTAAATATAAATTAACTAAAATAACCCTGTAAATTTGCAATGGTATTTTGGTCAATTTATATCTTAACATTTATTTTTTTCGTATTTTTATTAGGTGTGCCTCACTAAGATGTCAATACGCTCCAAATTTCAAGTAATTTGGATTTGTAGAAAAAAAAAAAAAAATACTACTGGATAACTGTGACCGTACGATGAAGTTTGGATGGTGATGAGGGTAGACGAAATCACTGTCTATTTTCGCTAATAAGTGTTGGGAAGAGCTTTCCATATATATATATATATATGGGATTTTTTATGATTACCAACCCCTCAAATTATAGAGGTTCACGTTAGAGTTCCTCAAATTATATAGGTTCAAGTTAGAGTTCCTTGTAAAATGTATTTTTACCTATGAGGGCATTATATTGTCTCGTAACAACCTTAAATAGAGGGCATTTTGGACAATTATTTTCCCAATGATAGAAAGCGAGGGAACTTTTAAAACTTTTAACCTCATTTGCTCTCCTAAAACTCCCTCTCATCTGTCTCCCTCCCGTCTTTCTCCCTCCATTGACAGAGAGGTCGAGACCTTGGTTTTCACCTAGAGAAAGCCCTTTCGCCTTCCAGCCATGGTTGTCGACCCAGCTCATGCCTTGTAAGAGCCAGTCAGGAGATTTTCATTCACAACAGGTAAGAATATCTGATGATTGCCACTCTCTCTCTCTCTCTCTCTCGCTCTCTCTCTCTCTCTCTGTCAAAATTCATTTTTTATAAGCAAAATGATGGCCTAAATCTGTAAAATTCAAGTTCACTCTTACCATGTTTGAGAACTCATGGATTGGTTGTAAATGCATTGTCTCTGTTGGTGTGATTTTCTATATAGATTTTTTACTTTTCAAGGGAGAAATTGTATACATTACAATTAAGTTTTATTTGTTTTAGGGTGCAGAAGTAGGGTCCAACTTCATCATTTTGTGGGTTTTTCTTCATAACATGTTTTTCTATATGGATTTGGGGAGGTGGGTTTTGTTGGGTTTTTGTGATTTGTAGCTTTTAAATCCCGTAGATCAATAAATTCACTCTGCTTCAAGTGCCTAAGAAAAATGCTATTGTTTTGAGGTTGTGCTTGAATTTAACTTCTGAAAATCTTGTGTTTTCTTTTGTTTTATTTCCTTTGCTTTGTTTAAGAAGTTCTCCCTTGGAACTCTTCGTGAAATCCGAGAACTTTTGTTGTGATTATCTTTTCGAAATCAAGGCCTAATTGGGGTTCCCTTTTATTTTTATTCTGAAATGATGCCTACTCTTGATCACCTTCTCTGGAATTGGGGCTTACTTTCTTGAGTTTCTTTGGCAGCACTACTGAATATATAGTTTCAGTCTTTTGCATACTAGGATTTCAGGCTGCCCTTATGGAAGCAGCCTTATGCATCCAAGCATTTCACATATTCCATTTGTGCTTATTGTTTTGACTATTTATAGAAAATAGGAGCTTAAGTCTCATGATTGGCATTTCTGATTGCATTGGAGAAAGGATCTAAGGCTTAGAGTATTAGTTAGGTTAGTTTGTTAATCGTTCATGCTTATCCCTTAAATAGTTCACAATGGATAGAGAGAAATGCTATAGTGTGTGAAAGTGACGTTGAATCCCTGTGTTAATTGGCAAAACTCTTCTAATGTCCTAGTTCGCATGGAACTGACTAAATGTAATTTCCATATCCATTGAAGGTAGATGTTTATGGATAATACAATCATGTTATCCCTTTTTTGTATGCCTATGTCATTTGGTATTTATGTCCTGCATCTTTTTGGTTTGGAGATGGTGATGCCCTATACTGTAGAGCCAATTTTGACATGTTGGCACCAAAGGCCTCTCCTTTGTGAAATTTATGTTGCATCCCTATATTTTGGTGTATATGAGACAAGCATAATTGCTGCCATTTTTTAGGTAGGCAAGTAGAGAGCATTGGTCATTCAGGAGAGGATTAGCGATGTGACTGGTTCTCATTCCTTTTAGACCAGAGTCATGAGGAGCTACCGTGTTTGGGTGGTGAACCTCCTATTGAGAGCCTACAATTTGGTTGCTCTTTTGAGTACTAATTAGTTTCTTTTTTTCTTTTCTTTTCTCTTTTTAGTGGTACATTGAGAAATTTATACATGGTATTTCAACTATGATTTACCCAAATTCAGGTTGTAATGGCTTTAATTTTGGGTAGCACTATTCTTGGCACAATATAGTTGTAATTTTGGGGCATGAAACAATTTTTGGCAGCTCTACTCTTGGCTGCAATTTTGGGCATTGGCACAATTTTGGCCACTATTAATGCCTATAATATACTTTTGAACTTTACATTGATAATCAGTACTAGAAAACAATATATGACTGTAATATGCTTTTGAACTTGAGTCCTATTTTACAGGTACCTAAGTAGATCCCATATAGAAACCTCTCCATGAAACCATGCTTGTAGAGGGCATTGCTTCAATTGTAGAAAACCCATTTAAAACAGTTCCTAGTGATTTAGTTCCATACAATGGGAAAATATTTTCAAGTCATAATGATGCTTATGAATTTTACATGGGTTTTGCCAAGGCATGGGGGTTTTCAGTGCGTCGTCAACGAATAATTGGAAAAGAAGGTGATGGCAATCGAACTATTCGAAGATACTATGTTTGGGGGGAGCGGGGGTGCATTTAACAAATAAATAATTATCTGCAAATAAAGGAGAAAGAGATTGATCATCAAGGAGATGCAATTGTGCAGCGCATATGAGTATCGCAAAAGTCATGGATTCTAATATTTCATATTGGTGTGTTGTAACCTTTGATAATTTGCACAATCATGATGTTCTCTACCCACAAGAAGGTAGATTTTTGCCGGCTTATCGTAGTATTTCAGAAAGCTACAAGGATTGTATTCTACAATTTTCAAAGTTGGTATATGTGTTAGAGATATGATACGATTGTTTGAAATAGAGAGAAATCTTAAACCAGGGGAATTACCATTTATAGATAAAGATATCTATAACTATGTATGTGCTATGAACAATATGAACCGCGACAATGATGCTCATATTCTCTTAACAAAATGTAAGCAAATGAAAGATAGAGATAAATATTTTAAGTACGCTTTTATAGTTGGTGAAGATAATAGGTTGGAGCATATTGTTTGGTCACATGGTTCTTGTTCTCGTGCATATGAGATCTTCAGTGATGTGGTAGTTTTCGATACGACCTACAGGTCAAATGGTTACTATATGTCATTCGGCATTTGGATGGATGTCAATAACCATGGTGACACTTGTTTATTTGGGTGTGTTCTACTACGAGCTAAAAGAGTCCAATCTTTTTCATGGGCAATGAAGGTATGTGATTTTTTACAAATTATGAGCTTTGAATTATTTGATATTTTTACCAATGATGTGTGTTTGAGCCTGCTTATATGTTTTTAGGGTTTCTAAAGCATGATATAGTTGTAGGCATTTGTAGGTCTAATGAATGGAAAGATGCCACAAACAATCCTAACTGATCAGGACTTGGCTCTCAAAGAAGCAATATGTAAGGAACTCCTCAACACTTAACATGCATTTTGTATATGACACTTATTATCAAATTATCTGGCTGGTTTTTCCTCCTCCTTGTTAAAAGATACAATGAGTTTAACACCGACTTTTACAAGTTATATAATCTTGAGTCCATTGAAGATTTTGAAGAACTCGCATGCATTAGTCAATAAGTTTGCATTGCATTCTAATAGACATATTAACAACTTGTGGAATTTAAAAGAGTTTTGGGCATTACCATACTTGAGAAGCCATTTTTTTGCTGGACTGAAAACAACGGGACGTTAACAGTCCATCAATACATCTGTGAAGCGATTCTTGAGTTCACAGACTCCGCTTAGTGAATTGATAGATCAGGTATAACAAATAATGATCTTATTGTCTTCCTTGATATTTTAATAAATTGGCATGTTATTCTTTATTTATGGTTTTTTGTCTCTTTTTTGTTAGAAGACAGTTGTTATTGAAATGAGAGATGTAGTGAGTCAAAGACGTTTGATGCAACAAAAGTCCAACAATGTGGATGTTCGAACAATGTGCCCCTTCAAAGATCATGCAGCACACGTCTTAACTCCTTATGCATTTTCAAAGATACAAGAAGAAATTATTTCATCTTTCCAGTATTTGACATCAAGAAAGGATGATGGAACTTATGAAGTGACACTTTTCAAAAAAAGAAAAAGGGCAAAAAGTTTCTTTGATGGTTGACAATATTATGAATTACAGTTGTAAAGGGTTTGAGTTTACAGGTATCATTTGCAAGCATTCTCTTCATGTTCTCTTCAAGGAAAATTTTATTCAAATTCCAGACCGATATGTGCCAAAACGTTGGAGGCACTCTACATTATTGATATCAAATGTTAGCTCGAGCGCATCAGCTGCATATGTTGAGCGTGTCCAAACTATACAATCATTAGCATCAACAATTGGTACAAAAGTTGCAAGATTTGATGATTGTTACAAGTTCATTATGGAGCAATTTTCAAGAATTTTGGAACATGTTGAAGAAGTAGAATGCATGAGGTCTCCTATGGTAGATAAAACATATAATGCAAGTCTAGCAAGTGAAGAGATGAAAATAGACTTCATTATGAAAGCATCCATGTAAAAAACCCTGCTCGGTCTATTACAAAAGGGCGGCCTCTTGAAAAAAAGTTAAAAGTCCCATGTTGAAGTTGCTAAAAACCCTACATATTGTAAGGTTCCTTCATGTGGCCAAACTGGCCATGATTATAGGAATTGTCCATTAAGAAGAGGTTAATTTAGTAGGTAATCATTATATATTAGAGAACACCATTCTTAGTGTGATGTTGACACAATTTTTGGGCTAGAAATGCTACTTTGCATATGAGATTTTTGAGCATTTACATGTGATAACTTCGTATATATAATTTTGGAGTTGTACATAATGATTATTGTAAGGTTGAAATGTGGATGCAAATGTAATGAATATATTTTTACTTGATTAAATGCTCCATCTTTAGCTAATTCACTAAATAGGATTTCAAGCAAAGCATCATTCTTTGTTCCTTGTGAATGTGTTGGGGCAGGGACTGCATTTTGTAAATTGATATTGAGATAGGCACAGCAAGGCAGTAATGCTTAAGTTCTTTAAACTCAAAAGATCACAAGGGCACAACAGGGCAGCAATGCAATTCAAACATATAAGTCACTTTTCTTTTTCTGTTGCTATTAAAATTAATAACCTGCCTGAACAACAAAGAAAAGAATATTTGATTCCAACAAGAAAGCAAAGAGAGTAACAAATATGCCAAAGAAAGTGGACTTTGGATGTATAGGCCACCCGTTTCGCTATTTCGGCTGATTTAAGTTCATGCAAGGGAAGGTGGGGCGCCCTGTCAATAATAGCCTTCTCCCTGGCAATAATAGCCAGCGTATAACACACAGACACAATTACTAAGAGAGAGAGAGAGAGAGAGAGAGAGAGAGTTAAATAGTCAAATCACAACTTCTCATTGAATAAGAAAAACTTGATTCATGTAGGCACAAAATAAAATACATCAAATATTTTGAAATTTAAGATAGAGAGAAATTCATATTCGAATTATATTATTACAACATTGTTCCATCTCTCTCTCTCTATCAAGAAGAATTTTTGGCCTTGAAAATACATGAGCTAGAAGCTCTGATGCTTTCTACTTTATGGCTTTGAAACCAAATATCTTCATCACCACGCTTCAAACTAGAGCCTCCTACTCTCACTGCCCCATACAGTTTCCCATTCAAAATGTGTAGAGTAAGTTGTGAATCTCCCAACTCTTGATCCTAAGTCTTCAAGTCTAGCAAGGAAGAGAATAGATCAAACAAATAAATAAAACGATTACTCAGTAGAATCTAATCCTTTAGCTATGAAAAGAACAAGATATCATCAAATAAATAAAATCATTTCTCCGGCCTTTCCTATCATCAGATAATTATTATACTAAGAATAACAATAAATCATTCACTAGATCAAAAAATTAATCCGTTAGCTATGAAAGGAGTTGCATAATCAAGGGAAAAAACGGTATAAAAATATGAAAAATGGGTGGGGGCATATTTTCAAATATGAAAATTTCATTGTATCTTGAAGCATACTTTCAAGAAAGAATGTCAATCAAATTGCTCTCGATGGGTGGCATTTTCAGAATTCCTAAGCAAACCCAAATACAATGAAAAATCAAAATGAAGGAAGAACCCTATACCAACAAATAAGTCAACACATAGATCAACAGAGTAAATTCTAGAAAAAAATTCCCAAAAATAAAACAAAGAAAAAAAGAGAAGAAAATAAATGGCATTTAGTGTGGCATTCGTATCTGGTGTGATCGGAGATCTCCATGGCTGGGATCACGTGAAGGTGAAAATTAGGGTTTTCTCGAAGTAAAAACCAACATGTCGAGTTGTAAAAAAATTGAAAAAAAGGGTGGCCTTAGCACGGAGAGAGAGGTGACTATCTCAAATCAAAATAAAACCTACCAAAATCGTACCCAAAAACCAAAAATACAGAAAAGTTACAAAAATCTCACATTTTCTTCACCAAAAAAGAAAGCTCCAAAATCTTACCCAAATAAAGCTACCAAGATCTCACCCTAAATCTCACCAAATAAAGAAAAAATTCTTTATGCAAAATAGCACTTCCATTTTTGCCTGGCAATTTTTCTGATCAAGAAGAGCACTTCCATATTGATCTATGGGATTTAAAAGCCACAAATCACAAAAACCCAACAAACCCTACCTCTCCAAATCCATATAAAAAAGCATGCTATGAAGAAAAACCCACAAAATTCTGAAGTTGAACCCTACTTCTGCAGCCTAAAACAGATATTCTTAGCTGTTGTGAATGAAGATCTCCTGGCTGGCTCTTACATTTCATGAGTTGAGTCGACAACCATGGATGGAAGGCGAAAGGGCTTTCTCGAGGTGAAAACCAAGGTCTCGAGCTCTCTATCAAATGGAGGGAGAAAGACGGGAGGGAGACAGATGAGAGGGAGTTTTAGGCGAGCAAATGAGGTTAAAAGCTTTAAAAATTCCCTTGATTTTTATCATTGTGAAAATAATTGTCCAAAATGAACCACTATTTAAAGTTTGTCACGAGACAATATAAAGGTATTATAGGTAAAAATATACTTCACAGGGTCTCTAACTTGAATCTATATAATTTGAGAGATTGTTAATCTTAAAAAATTTATATATATATATATATAATCGACTTGGCTTAGATGATAAATCCCTACAATTTTAGATCAAAAATCCATTTTAAGATGAATTTTAGAGGGGGCCCGCACATGTACAAGTGAGTGGGTCTACTCATAGAAACCCATCCTTGTCTTTATACCAGTTAGGGTTCAACATTTTGTTTCCTTTCCTTGCTGCATACTTAGCGAGGTAGTCCGCAACGTGGATCATTTCTAGTGTGAGGAAGACATGGAAGAGCTGGCACTCCCTTATTTCCTCTGTACTTTTATATCTTATATTTGGAAATGAGCTGGCAAAGCATGCGACACCCTTAATTTATTCTTATCTATTCAATTCAACTCCCTCCATTAATTTGGTCAATTCCTTTTCAATCTTATATTTGGAAATCAGCTGGCACAGCATGCGACACCCTTAATTTATTCTTATCTATTCAATTCAACTCCCTCCATTAATTTTGTCAATTCCTGGCCTTTAGATACAGGAACAGGTAACTTTGAACCTATCAAACCCGACCACATATCAACAAGTCCTCTTAATCAAGTTTTGAATAACACGAAAGGGACGTAAATTTTCTCTAAACTTTTATACGTAGCACACCCCAATTCGGCGTCCCACACATGTGACCTAGGATTCTTGAGGCCCATGCTTGGCCCCTCCTCTAACTAAGATTAATTTCGTTTTTTTAGAGATATTAGAGTAAAGCATGATTCTAAATCCTGTCAGAAGATGAAGATGTTGTTATGGTGCCAAGTATCTCTTGATGGCGTCAAAATTATGTTTATTGTAGTTATTAAAATAAGTAATAATTTTATAGGATTTTATTCTACGCATGTATGTAAGACCTCAAATGATTATCATTAAAGCTGATATGGATCTCTAAAAAAATTATCATATGAGTGTAAGACTTAATTTTTCTATAGATCCGTGTCAACGTTATTGGTGATTCTTTGGAATCCTACACATATGGATGGAGGAAGGTCCTATAAGATCATTACTCTATTAAAATATGATATGAAATTTGAAAAATAGCGCAGGTCGAAAAATGGACGGACCTATAAATACTTGAAAATCTTTAAAGTAAGTTGTTTAAATAATTAATGTTTCAAGATACATTATTTTTAAGACATGATTTTTTTTTTCTTTTCAATGACGAAACATATTGAGGTCAAGATGATCGCTTGGAGGCTCCTTAAGGGTTTGAACAACTTTTTCCTTGTGGGTTTTTGAGGCGCGGCTTACTTTTATAATAAAAGGTTAATATCTTATATAAATTTTTCCTGGTAATAATATCCATATAACAATGGGGAAATATCTCTTAAATACTTACTGCACAAAATCGTTAGAGTGGTTTAATCACTTTATCATTAAAGTGATTACTCTTAAGTTTCATCTCACTCCACCATATCTTTAAAAAATATGGTAAAAAGTGATGAAATTGTCTATGCTCAAAAATTCAGACCCTAAACAATCATATGCATTTTGAACGTTTGGCAACAATTTAAAGAGCTCAAGTCAAATAACAATATACATCTAATTGTTTGCGGTTCGCTACACAAGATTGAAAAATAACAATAATATCCCTAATTGTTTATGAACAATTAATAATTTCTCTCAAGCCACTTAAATGGGAGTCAATTGCAAAAATGTATCTCCTTGTCCATGGTTCTCATTTCAAAAAGAGGCAATGTGGTGATTTGTTTAACATAATTTTTTTAACGAGGTATCTAATGAGTGTACTAGATCTTTGATAGTAATTAAATCATTTGACCCCTAATCATTTTGTAACAACATTTCATGATTTAATACACATATTGTCTATATAATATGAATGCATGCCATGGTCCATATGACCACTTGAAAGTAGTCATAATTCACAACGGCTGTTCCCTCCAATCAGTTAGATTAGAAGGTAATGACCCTATAGTATATAACTATGGAAGTTAGGGGTGGCAACGGGTTGGGTCGGGTTCGGAGGGACCCGGATACGGACCCGACTCAAAAATTGAAATATATTTTTTTATTTAACTATATTCAAATATATTTCATATATTGGGACTCGAAAAATATTTTTTGGACGCGGACTCAATCATACCCAAATTTGGAACCCCCCGAGAAGTGTTTGGTCCAAAATTTAGACCTGAACCCAACCTGTTGATTGGACTCAGACCCGGACCCAAATCGGGTTTACCCCTCGGGTCCGGGTCTATTGCCACCACCGTTGTAAGCACATCTGGTCATGTGGACCATTCGTGCATGTTTATAAGTGGAGTTTCCCTTGTTTGACTGGTATGCCGTTCCATATTAAATTGACAATTCCCATTTATGCTCATCCCCCTCTCTCTCGTTAATTTTTTTATTTCTTTCGAGTCTCTCTTTCTCTCAGGCCATAAATGCAAGAACTTTTAAGTAGTGAAAGCTTTCTATAGGCCCAGCAATCCGATATAAATAAAGGTTTTTAGCCTCAAACATCTTGTCTTCATTAGATCGGTCAAAGTGAACAATATATTTTATTTTTATTTTTATTTTTTATTTTATAAATCATTTTCATGTAAAATTTTGTATGTGCTTATCCATAAAGGTGCACCCAATAATAATGGGAAAACACATTTTAATGGAACAAATGACCAAAATAGCCTAAAATTTGTGGCTTATTTTGATCATTTCACTTTATAGAAATATAATGTATTTTTATTTTTTGTTTTTATTAAGTGCACCACTACAAGTAAACGACATGCACCAAATTGAATATGAAGATAATTTATAAAAAAAAGTTAAAAAATGAAGTACTGGTAAGCCAGAATATTTATATACCCAGTGTTATTGGGATAGGACTGGCTATCAAACTGGTGAAGGGTCTTGTTCAATCAAAACCGTTTCGATCACTCGTTAAACTGTTTGGACCAAATTTTCAAATTTAGAAAAAATAAGACATAAGTAAAAATAAAATATACTATAAAAAATGTCTGAATTTGTGCAATATGTGTGACCAAAAGCTAGAATATTCAATCAGTCAAACATTGGTTTTAACTTTTTTTTTACCAATTCTCTTGAACCGGACTAGCCAAAGCATCAGTCCGATCGGTCAAATTCAGGGGACCTAAACTAGGCTGAGGCAGACACATGCCCATGCCATTCTGCTACACTACTAGCTTGAAAGCCCAACACAGCCAGATGAATCCTATAAAGGAGCTCGGAGTGCATTATTATAAATTAATATTACATGATTATGACCGGCCCGATTGCCTTTTAACGAGCTCCCAATCTGGCCTTTGATTGCCAAGCCAGAGCATCCAATTCCAGCCCTGCTCGAAGGCAGTCCTCATTGCGGCATTACCGCTATAAGTCTAAAACCATTGAAGGGCAGGGGATAATTGGACTGTTGGAAAAACAGGGTGAACTAAACGGTAACGGCCTAGTTAGATAAGAAGCCGGTTCCAATTATTGCCGTTTCGGTGATCGATTGGGTATTTTTTTTTAAAAAAAAAATCTCAAAAATAATGGATTTTGTTTGTAATGTACTTTTTGTAATGTTTTTTGTCATTATGGCAAATAGTTGAAATTATTTTGGTTATTAATACTTCTTTTTACATTTTTCCATCATGTTTTAAAAAAATTCAAAATTACTCCTAGGTATAAATTCATTTTTTTCATTAATTTTCAACTTCATTTGGATACGCTTTGTTTAATAGTTTTCAAAATATATTGTTCATATTTTATTAAAAAAAAATTTAATCTTTTAACAAGTTTTTAATCGCTCGAGACTTGATCGATTAGAATGGTTGAACTGGCCGGTTTTGTTTTTTGGGTAACTGAATCAGCTGGTTTAACAGTTAGGCTGGCTTCGGGCCCATATACGATTAATTGTTCTGGTTCGATTTTGTGAACACAAGACAAGTGTAAAACCACTGTTCGCAAAAGATCTAACCACTAACTGCCCTGTTAGATCGGAACCAGCCAATTTGGGCGATTAAGGTGATCAACCGGTATTTAAAAAAAAATCAAAAAAAGATATATAAATTCTAAAAAATAAAGAATTTGATTGTAATGCATTTTAAATATTCTTTACATTATGGTAAAGATTAAAAATTGTTTTGGTTATTGATACTCACTTTTATATTTTCCCATTTTTTTTTAAAAAAATTGAAAATAGTCATTGGAAAATATAGAATGGGTTAAAATCTATTTTTTCCATTAATTTTCAACTTCATTTGAATGAATGTGTTTTGTTTTAATCATTCTTTATAGAGCGTGGTTTGTATAGAGCCTAGGCTCTAAACAATCAAATTAGAGTCTACCTTCAAAATAGTATCGATAAATGTGGTTTGACCGTTGGAAATCTTTGTGATAGCCTTAAAACATATTTTCATATTTATTTGTAAAGTTTAAAGCTTCAAAAATAGTGTAGATCGTCAGATCTATGAAAATCTTGAAAATTGACAGTTCAAAAATACGTTACAAAATACACTATTTTTTTCTCATGTCCATGTATCTTGATGTCGAGATGATCAATTGAAGATATTTAGGTATCAAAATGACATCTTCTAATGAAAATTTTGAAGTAGGCTCAAATTTGATTATTTAGAGCCTCAGCTTTATATAAAGTTTTCTTTTTTTTATGTGCTTTTTCATATTTTAGTAGTTTTTTTTTATTTTATTTTTTTTAACACTTTTTTGACCGCCCGAATCTTGCCCGATTAGAATATTTGAATCGGCCGGTGTAACCGTTTCCAAACCTATGTCCGGTTAACTGTTCCGGTTCGATTTTCACGAACAAAGTGTAAAACGCCTGAAGGACGGGGAACACTGGATAAGTGTAAAAGTCTTGAAGGGCGAGGAATAACCGTAAGGAACGTTTTGTACTTGGGTTGCACGCCTACAAGGTTCCCAAAATTAGAAACATAGGAACTTTTACAAGGAGGGTGGTGTCTCCACATTTTCCCGGCCATCTGAACCATCATCCATCACCACCGCCCGTTTACTCTCTGATTATATATTTCTCTCTCCCTCCTGGTACAAGTATATACATATATATCTGAAAAGAGCTTCCTCTTGAGGGCGATGATCTAGGGGCTCTTGTTTAGAGAGAGAAAGTGTTTTTGGATTTCACAAAGAGAATGAGAGGTCCGCTTCAACGGGAATTGACTCGAAAGAGAGGTTAGATTGAGGGGCATCGGTTAGAGAGAGATTGGATTGACGAATTGACTCGAAAGAGAGGTTAGATTGAGGGGCATCGGTTAGAGAGAGATTGGATTGACGAATTGACTCGAAAGAGAGATTAGATTGAGGGGCATCGGTTAGAGAGAGATTGGATTGAAGGGCCATTGATTTGAGAAGATTCAGTTAGGGTTACCGATTCGAGCAATGGCTTGCAGAACAGGGGAAGGAGAGGAGAGAGAAGAGGAGGAATGCTTGTTTCCTAGGGAGAGAAAGAAGGCATTCTTGAGGTGCGGGTCTCATGCGGACGACGAACTCAAGAGCTTCAGGCGCTGCGTCGGATGGCTCTGCGTCGATCAATCCAATCCATGGCGCACCTTCGTCTCATGGTGCGTCTTCCTTTTAATGGTTGTCGTGATCCCGACCGCTTCTCCCTTTATTCTGTCCTGCTCGCATTGCGAACCCAGCCATCGTCGAACGCACGACACGGCCGTGCAGCTTTCTCTCTCTGCAGTTGCAGCCGCCTCATTCCTTTCTCTCTCTAAGTTTCTGCGCAAGTATGGGCTGAGACGCTTTCTCTTTCTTGACAACCTGTGCTTTGACAGCGAGAAGGTCCGGCTGAGCTACACCACCCAACTCAATGTAGGTGAAATTCTCTATCCTTTCATTTTGGAGAATAGGAAGGCTTTCTCTCTCTAAACTTTCTCTGCAACATATAGCATTTTGGAGAATAGGAAAGTTTTCTCTCTCTAAATTTTCTCTCGGAAAAATTACATTTCGTTCCAATGTTAATCTCTGGTCTAATTTTTTCTCTCTAGATTTCCTCTACCGTGCTTTCTCTCTCTAAATTTCACCGTCCCTGAATCATTTCTTCTATCGATCCCTTATTCTCTGACCTTTCTCTGCATTTGTCTCGCTTTCTAACCCTGGGGTTTAATTATACAGTGTGGTCGGCCATTCTCTCTTCGTCTCCCCAACGCTCACTTTTCTTCTTATGCTTTTTTGGGTGCCGTTTTGTATGGAGCGAGGCTCTAAACAATTAAAGTCAAGCTACAAGACGGCTCTAAACAATAAAAGTAAAGCACCCCTTCAAATAGTGTGGAGAAATAGTGTGGAAAAATGTGGATTCGAAAAGCTTTAAAACATATTTTTATCTTTAATTATAAATTCTAAAATTTTAAAAATGGTTTTTAAAATTGACTGTCCAAAAATATGTTATAAGATACACTATTAATCCATTTTTTCTTCCATGTCCTTGATCAATTTGAAGATATTTGAGTATCAAAATTATCCAATTCTATTGAAATTTTTGTTCTATTAAAAATTTTGAGGTGCGTTTTAATTTTATTGTTTGGAGCCTCGGCTCTATATAAACTGTTTCTGTCTTCTTCTTTTTTTTTCTTTATTTATTTATTTATTTATTATTGTACAGAGCTCTTTTAAGCTTCTCTCATGCTTCGTCCTCCCCTGTTTCGTGGCCGAAGCCGTATACAAGATATGGTGGTATGCCTACGGCTTAGCGAAGGTGCCGTTCATCGGGAACGTGTACGTTGGAGATGGGATCGCGTGCATAGTGGAGCTGGCATCTTGGATGTACAGGATGAGCATATTCTTCATGGTGTGCGTATTGTTGAGGCTTATCTGTCATCTGCAGATCCTACGGCTACAAGACTTCGGGAAGGTATTCCAAGGTGAATCGGACGTGGGAGAGATATTGAGGGAGCATCTGAGGGTGAGGAAGCAGCTACGAGTTATAAGCCACAGGTTTAGGGCTTTTATACTCCTGTCTCTTCTGTTGGTGACGGCGAGCCAGTTTGCGTCGCTCCTCATCACGACCAAGTCTCACTCAACCCTCACCATCTTCAGGGACGGAGATCTTGCCGTAAGCTCATTCATTTCCTTTTCATCTCTATCTTTATCTCTATCTCTCTCTATCTCTCTCTCTCTCCACATTAATATATTTCTCTCTATATAATTCAGTGTTCGAATGATGGACTCGGCTACTCTGCCAAGGTAGCTCGGCCCGAGTATGGGATTTAGGTGAAGCTAAAAAAGTGTTAAAAAAAATTTAAAAATACAAAAGAAATTTTTTTTAAAAAAGAAAAATATGTTTAAAGTGAAATTAAACAAAACAAACAGTTAAAAAAATAGATTTTGAATAAATCAATTCTTATTTAAAAGTAATCCAAAAAGAAAGAAAAATGGAAAAAATAAATATTAATGGTAAAAACACTTTCCAATCTTTAAAACATAATATATATATTACAAATAAATTTCTTATTTTTAAAATTTTTTATACTGTTTTGATATTTTTTTAAAATCCCTGAATTGGATGTCCAAGGGGATACTAAAGCTCCCAAGGGTGGTGAATCCGAGTTATTTGGGTGAGTCCGAGGTAGCTCACCCGAGTAATCAAACATTACTATAAATTGTTGGAAATTTTGGTGGGTAATAATAAAATCACGATAAAACTTACTCACCCATGTCCATTAGTCGCAACGCTTGATTCGCCCCGCACACTTGCTCGGCACAAGCACCACACTCTCTCTTTTAATCCCCAAATAAGGTATGTGATTGTTTCTATATAAATACAAATCTTTCTATGCTCTCTTCTTTAACGTGGGATTAAAACTCACGACTTTCTCTTGATTTATTTAAACTTTATAAAAATATTAAAATACTTTGTAGTATTTCTAACACAAAAATACTAATATAAATTTCTCTCTATCTCTTTCTGCACTTTGGTCTCCTCTCTCTAAATTAATGTCGCTCTCTCTCTCTCTCTTAAAATCTCTAGTTTTTTTATGAACAAAAAAACACTTCACAACCTTTTAAAGTAAAAAATCAGAAATGAAAAAAATTCACACAATTCGTCCAAAAAAAAAAATTAATTCACACAAGCGCAGGGGAGTCTGTAGGCCTGGGTAGAAAATTATGTTGGTCAGTTTCTTCGTTAGACGGTGATACCAGAGAACGGGACCCACCTTGGGTTTGCACATTCTACTACCTTCCAGCAATTGCATGCGCCAAGGCCTATAGCTTTATGGCTTCTATAAAATATGATCCATGTGCTCATCCAGAGTTCCTAGAGATATTGTCCGTAGGGTTGAGAATGGGTCGGATTGGGTGCAGATCCACCGTGATCTAGAGTCGGATCTGAAAAGAAGGGGTGGGATTTGGTTTTGGATCCGATTGGATCCGAAATAATCAGATCTGGATCTGAATTCAAAAAGTATATATGGGATCTAGATCCGATCAGATCTGTAATATTTAGATTTAGATCTAGATCTAAAAAGTATACATATGATCTGGATTCGGATCCCAAAAAATGATTTTATATATTATTTTACATCTGTAAAATTATATAGGACAAAAAATACTATTTCACATTTATGTATATACAAAATAATATAATATATTAATAACTGGGTTGGACTCGGATCGGATATAGGTATTGAATCCACCTATACCAAGATCCAATCTGAATTACTATTTGGATCCAAATTTTGGGTCTAGATCCGACCCAAAATGTAAGATCTGTACCATTTTTTTAGTTTCAATATTTATACAGAGTTAGAAAATGATTTTTCGAGCCATCATTGAGATTTCCGACGGCCAAGTTGCTTTCCAAATGAGAATTTAAACGCGAGGCTTTACTTTATTTTCATAAAATCTATGACTTATAGAAACTCCATCCTATATATAAAAGGAAAAATGTCCACAAAAAATTATTTTATCTGCATTATAAGGAGGCAAAAATTACTCTTGCCCTATTTTTCCAACTTTTTCTCACACAAGCAAACATAAAGAGAAGATGGGGGTTTTTGTATCACATTATGGTGGGTATGGGGCTCGTCTCCTTCTTGTCTACTGTGCATTGATTTGGACATTCTTTTTTGTTGGATAAACTTCAAAGGCTCATACCTCTTAAAGGTGCCACACCATTGGCCTCAAGGCCACATCTAGAAAGTACAGCTCATCAATCGAAGAGGGAAAATTGTTTCATGCCGGCTGGACCTTATTTCTACATATGTGGTCCAGAAAGTGTAAAGCATACATTTTTAATAAAAATGGATGTAAGTAGGTGTTTCATCTAAAAACAATAAAAACTAACGGTCAAATGTTTTCTTACTAGAATTATTATTTTTCGTTTTTAAAATTTGTTTTTCCATATTCATGATCTCCATATTAGAGATCATGTCCTTATAGTCCTAAAATCTATCTCAAAAGTAAATTTATTAAGAGGTATGCATTTCTCGAGCTTGATCGCATAGAAACCAGGTCCATCAAAGAGCCATACTCCTAAGTGTCATATCCACTAACTCTGACATGTGGCATGGAACCCGCCGTCGGGTTGATTTTTAGTGGCTTCCTCCCTCACTCCTTCATTGGCTACCATTCCCCTTGTATGCGGGTCATTGGCCAGCAATGGGCCGGGTACCGCTGGCCTGAAAATATAAGGGTGGCGTGAGACTTAGTCTCTAGGGGACATAAAGGCATGTACCATCCTTCTTACACAAATATTCTATACAATGTTTGAAAAACTCGGCGATCTAATCGCTAACTACCCCATTAGATCATAATCGGAATAGTTGCCGGTTTCAATTTCAGGAGGTTTTGGTGACCAGTATTTTATAAAAAAAAATTCAAAAAATTTATATAAAATCTCAAAAATAAAAAATTTAATTTGTAATACAGTTTTTTATATGGATACCGTTTGCTAAACAATCAAATTAGAGCCTACCTTCAAATATTGTCGAAAAATGTGGTTTCACTACTGAAAAACTTTGTGACAGGCTTAAAACATATTTATTTTAAAATATATTTTCATATTTATTTATAAAGTTTAAAGCTTAAAAAATAATGTAGATTGATTGATCTATGAAAACTTGAAAATCAATTTGAAATATTTGGGCATCAAAACAACTTCTTCTAGTGAAAATTTTGAGATAGGCTCAAATTTGATTGTTTAGAGCCTCGGCTCTATAACTTTTCCCTTTTAATATTTTTTACATTATGGTAAATATTAAAAATTATTTTGGTCATTAATACTCACTTTTATATTTTCTCATATTTTTCGAAAAATTTAAAGATACCCCTAGGCACAAATCGATTCTTTAAAATCCATTTTTTTCATTAATTTTCAAAAATGTGTTTTGTTTTAATTATTCTTTATATGTTTTTCATATTTTTTGTGTTTTTTATTTTATTTTTTTCAGTAATTTTTTGACCACCTAGGACTTGTCCGGCTAGAACAGTTGAATCGGTCGGTTTACCGGTTAGGTCAGTTAGACCTCTTTTGACCCCATGTCTGGTTAATCGTTCCGGTTCGATTTTGTGAACACTGGTTCTATATTATGAGCCAATATTATGAGGCATTTACCACAAACACTATATTAGAGCTTGCACAAAAACTGGGTCCCATATTTATGGGAAAATTATAAATGGAAAATGGTTTGATAGGGCTACAACAGCCGAATCAAAATAAGTAAAGCCTCACCTTGTAACTTATCAAAAATTACAATTCAAGCATTGAAAAACCTCTAAATGGAGCATCTCGGCTTGAATGGTTGTGAAAAAAAAAAAATATATTTTAAACTCTAAAAATAGTGTATCTTATAATAAATTATCTAGACAATCCATTACGCCCTAAAAATAAGTGTTCACAGATCCGCAAGATCTATGCCATTTTTTTAGTTTCAAATTTTATTTTCAGTATTGGAAATTGATTTTAGAGCCATCATGGAGATTTCCGCCAAAAGGTTTTTTGGGACAAATATTTGAGGTGAGGCTTTATTTTGTTTTCATAAATCCTAGCCCTTATAGAAACTTCATCCATTATAAACTCCTCTCCTCCCAAAAAAAACACAAAAATAATACTCTTGATATCATACTATTAATATCAATACTATTTCTTTACAACCACCTCTTAAGTAAAATAACTTAATTTTTTACCAAAAATATCCCCCATTTTAACCCATGATTCCAAAATGTGATGCCCAAGATGTGTCGGATAGGTGCAAAATGTGTTTGACCAGCTTGTGCGCAATGCCGAACGTTAGAGAGAACGAAAAATATGGCCGAAAAATTGGGGCGTGGGCGGTCCAGAATGTCGAGTCAAGTGGGTATCTGTAACTTTGGCCATATTTATCATAGAGTGCAATTATTGCATGCTCGTGTGAAATATTTTGGAACTTGTTTTTGGTGGTCCCAGATATGCTCCGTTGTGTTGATGACTGGACTGCTGATGTGCCTACATAGTGCTGCTAAGATAACACACAAGGCCCAATCCATTGTATCCCTTGCTGCTAAATGGCATATCTGTGCTACTTGTGACTCTCTGGAATCCATGGAGTCTGAGACCACCCCTACGGCTCAACGAATCTTCCCTGCTACACCAAATGGTGAACACACCTTTAGCCTCTTAGATAATGATGATGATGATGATATCGACGATAGTGATGAAAACGATGATCTAGTCCTCACTGCCTATGCTCAGACAGCTTCCTTCCAGAGGAGAGAAGCACTAGGTAAGGCCCTTCTCCCTTTGTTGCTGTTATGGACATGATTATTATTACATTTCTTCTTCTTCTTAAATTTCCACTCAAACCTTTTTGCATAAGATCACAGCTAAAATACACATTCAAAGCCAAACAAAATCACAAACTATGAACCTTGGGGGACCAAGGTGTCCCCAAAAGGAAATAACTTAGGGTCTGTTTGGATGATACTTAATCTAATCAGGAATGGGCTAGCTATCTTATACACTTTATATAATACTAATTTATAACATAGGGTCTGTTTGGATGATTCTTAATCTAATCAGGAATGGACTATCTTATGTGAAATTAATACTTTATATAATACTAATTTTGTTGCTTGTTTGGTACATGATATCTATTATAAGGAATACTATTTAATTGGTTAACTTTTTCAGCTATTTTCAGCTTTTTTTTAAAGTTATATATGGCTAAAAACATGTGATTTCCAGCAAAATAGTTTCCAAAACATAAACTTATATATCAAAGAAAAAGCTTCTATATATACTATAAGAGTAAGGTGCACCTAAAACACCCCGTTAGAAAAGGTTGTTAGCACATTTCTTGAAACTACAAACCCTTAACCAGAAAAGAAGAGGAGAAGGAATCTGAAGTGCAAGAACGATCTAAAATTTATCGCATGGGAATGTATAGGCTTAACCCTAAATAGGGAGAGGTGGCAACATCTTACTTAACTTTTATTTTAAAAAAAATTTAATAAAATATTTGTAAACATGCGGTAGAGCAAGTTGATTGATGTACAAAACAAACCGTTGTTCTTGAACCCAACCAAAACACCAATGACCCTGGACAGTAATGAACAATGAAGATAAAGAAATGCATGATTTTGCAAGACTATCAAGAGCATCATTGGCTTCACGATAGATGTGAGAAAACGATATCCGTAGCCTCGGTGAAGCACAGAGATCGTGTATTTTCAACCAAAAGACGTGGAGCGACCAAAGAATTCGTTGCTCTTGCTTACACCATTTGATAACGTTAAGTGGGTTCCTCTCAATAAGATCAATTTTGCAATTTTAAATAGGCCCAAAACCCACATCAGGAATTTTTGAGTTCATGGTCCCAATTCCAGCCTATATCGGAGTGCACAAGGCCCGATCCTCTAGTGTCTGTGACATTTGGTACGTGTTATTGAATCATGTTTTAACATCACCAAAAGGTTTCCAAAAATAGAACCAAATAATTTTTTTTTTCCTTTCTAATACGAACTTAGAACTTCATTGAGAATATAACTGATAATGTCATGTTGTGGAACCCAACCACCCTTGGAATCTCATTCCTTTTAAAAGAAAATCCTGATGAGATAATACCTGTTTTTCACCAAACTGCTATAATAGCACAATCTTGTGCATTTTAAATATGAAAAAATATATAATAAGACCATTTACTTTTGGCACAAAGTCACAATTAATCGCGACGATTGAACATGAAATTGGGTGGCTACATTTACCTTTAAATATAGCCCTTCGAGCAAATGATTGTTAGCCAAGATATTTCATTAATGACTCTGTTATTAATTTTGTTTCTTGATTGACTTTGGCAGTGAAATATTTTGAGCACAACCGGGCTGGGATTTCAGTATTTGGGTTCATGCTGGACCGGGCCTCCCTCCAAGTAATATTTATGATTGAGATGTCACTTGTTTTGTGGATATTGGGCAAAACAGTAGGGATTTAAACACTTACTCTCTATTCTTCTTATTTCTGTTTACTTTTCTTAGGTTGAGTAAATTGGGTATTGGTTTTTTCACATGTAAATTTGATATTTATTTTTTGAGGTGTGAGTGAATAAATTGTCCGATGCATATAGTCCCTTAGTAGGTCCCCTCATTCATCAAAGTGTCTTTTCAAACATACGATCGTACCCGAGCTGATGGGTGGTCTTGTTTATTTTTTAATCATGTTTCTCTCTCTCTCTCTCTCTCTCTCTCTCCATAGGATCTTTGTGCCTGCCTATGGATCTCGTTGTATTTCATAACTGTGTTTTTAAATGTTTGGAGTCTTTCTGTTGCAACATATGATATTTGTTTTATTACGGATCGTCTACATCCTGTTAGATCTCTCTCTCCCCTTTGAAGTCCTTTGATTTTCTTCACTTCTATGACTTCTTGTTTTATATTGGAATTATAGACCTGAGGAGCTCATATGGTGTCCATAGATCCTATGAGAAAATAAAAACGGAAGACAAAAAAAACGACAGACAAATGAAATCCACCGGACATATACTATGATCTACAGAACCATAGAATTCCTCTCGACCATCCAATCAAAGGATGGATGGTGATGGAGAGAATGGGGTCCAACAGACTATGACATGACCAAAGAGAGAGCCTTTGGTTCAATTTCCTTTCTGTTGTTGCCTAGATAGGGAGAAAAGAAATGTATTCTAGTGGGGAAGGTGTGAAAGTCAAAGTCCATGCACCTTTTGGGAGATTTGAAGAGCTGCTACTGGGTCATATGCGTTTTTTCCCCCACAAAAGAAATAGATAGCGAGACCAATTGATTTCATTTTTTTAAATTTTTTTTGAAGAGGATTATAAAATATATAAAGAATATAGAGCCTCCTCATCCGGAGCACCTTCCAAAGTTCATAGTACACTGAGGTCATAAGATTACCATAGAGACAAATGTTTAGTTTAGGATTGAAGGGTAGTTGAGGGCTCCCCACCTGACCTGACCTGGCTATGCTGGCTAGGCCTATCTTTCAACATTTGAATGTCTGAAACAACAGTAACTAGCAGCTGCTGATAAAGAGTATGAGAGCATTTATTCACAGCGCAATTGTTCCCATAATCCCTGCTTGTCCCAATGCAAGTCATCTAAGCCATCCAAACAAGTCTTCATCTTGCTTCATGCACGCATCGCGCACAATATAATTCATCATCACTTTCACAAAATGTATATTTGCAATGGCAGAGTTTTGAAGTCTTGATTGATGTTGTCATGTGTCCAGCCAGCACAATGGTCCACAAATGCATAGTCATGAGTTTCTTTCCTTCCAACTTCCTTGATCATTTGTTACCCATTTTTTTTGTTCGCATCATTTTACACCATAAATATCGCTGATGTTTCTCTCAAATAGGAGTAAAATACTTGTTCCGCAATTCGATAACCGTCTCTGTTACTAGAATTCCAATTTGCATTGGGATGTTGTTTGATATCTGTTCACGCATCCCCCTTTCTTGAAACTATTACCCTCACAATAGATTTTCTTTTTATGCCTCCTAAGACTTTCCCAATGTTCATGACATGACATGTAAGAGCCTATTTTCCTTGTTCTGTTCTTTTTTCCTTTTTTTTTTTGGTGTACTTCTGTTTATGCAATGAAATGAGAGTGTCTATTTTCATTTTTCTTTTGTACTACTTTTTAAGTTGTTCAGAGGTAAGAATTGGACTCGAACACAGTGTTGCAATAGTCGACCACTCACCAATCAAGCCCAAGCCCAAGCCCAAGCCCAACCTAGTTGCTGGGAGACCCTATTTACCTTTTCCTTATCATTCAGGGAGAGGAAGAGTATTTTTCCTTTTCCCTTTCTTTGGGAGAAGTGTATTTTCCTTTTCCCACAGACTATTTTTATGTTCCCTTTCTGAGAGAGAGAGTCTACTTTATTTCCCCATATATATAGAGAGATAGTATAGTGAGAACCTGTCATTCGTTTTCCCTCTCGGTTAGGGGGAGTATTACCATAGGTAGACATTACACAGAGGCAAGGCATCCTCTGTCAGGTACACAGTAAAATGCACTAATATTTCCACGAAAGTGTCCCTGCGAACCTGCCCGTGTACCACACACAAAGGTCACATTCGTTAAGTAATAATGGGATCTTACATATGATTTATAAGGAATTACATATGCATAATATAAGACATGGCTATTGCAAACTCAATCTCGGCAGGTGAGGAACTCCCCAGCAATCACAACATGATCCCAAACAATCCAAGCCTGAAGCAACAACTCCAAACGGCTCCAACAAGTATACTCAAAAGCAGTATCAATGTCTCAAAATCATATTACAAGCAAAATATTAGTAAGGTGACAGGAAGGAAGGACACTGAGCCAAAGTTCAACAAAAAAAAAAAAATTCAGTACAAATCACTGGTAACAAGGGATTTATCCCCCAAATGGGTAAACCAGTCCCAAAAACCCTCTTCAGAGAAATATGGAAGCTTTACTGGATGAGAAGAACCACGTCAGTCAATCTATCATTATACGAATAATCTCTGCTTTGCTTTTTACATTTTACAATCGATATCACTATCCTGAAACTTCATATTTCGGTCATTAATGTACAAGGGCCTCCCTATTGGCTTACTGCTGCAGACCATTTTAGATATGCATTTTGCTTTCCAGTACAAGAGACATGCTTCTGCACAAAAGGGGAAGAAAGATGAACATATGCTTTTCCCTTTTGACTTTTTCTATTTTCGACCAGTCGACTATGCAATAACTTAGCTTGACTCGACGCAATATCAGTAAGGCACATCACCTTCATAGACGAATACAAAGTTCCAAATCCAAGGGAAAGTGGATCATTGCAAAATTCTATTGTGCTTCTAAGTTGAAGCTTTCAATCCTCCTAAAGCACTCCTTTCTAAGGGGTGAATCTGCAAATATTGCTTTGACAAAATTTTGAATCTGCAGGAACAGAAAATAAAATAAAAAATTCCACAGTTGAAAATGCCAAGTACAATAAAAAGAAGGGAAGAGAAAAGTGAAACAAATCAGTGTCAGTCCATATTATGCATCTTGTAGTAGCCTGTGAACTTTAAAGAACTGGGATCTCAGGATCACTTTCTTCCACCAGTACCTCAAACCAACAACTAAGAAGTTTCTGTTTTGAGTCAGAACACTTAAATGTTACAGACAGTCAAACCCAAATCTAATTTGCTAATGCCACACAGTGAGCTCTTTGCAGTTAAACCTTTGCTAATTTATCAGGTATTACATTTGGCTACTTAATTATTAAGTTATATCAAATACAGAGCAAAAAAGCAGCGACTACAAAATTACAGTGACTCTCAAATGTAGAACGCATGAAACTTCCCAACAAAGAGCTTCCTACCAAAAAAATGGTATCTGCTTTACCCCAACTTGCGCAGTACCTGAGTCCAACGGGCCCATAGCACACTAACCGTTCCATCATGAATACACGTTATTTTGGACTCCTCCAAACAAAATGAATACATCAAAGTTCTAGCGTATGGACCAGAATTTTGTATCATGTTCATCCAAAGTCGATGTAATTGTCAAGGCTCCTCTCAGATAAAAACAAATTTATAAACGCTCAATCACTGACTTGATAGAGCCTCCTAAAACTAGATCTAAAAAATTTTAACCATCAGTTATGCAGACTTCGGACAAACATGATCACAGCAAACTGGCTTTCTAATGAATTAGATCTACATATGGAGGTTACAAATTATACTTGTTCTGTAAACTAAGTATGAACGAGGAGAAATGCCAAAAAACATGAAAGGAAACCTCGTCGAAAGAAGAAATGAGACATCTCATGGGCACCTCAAAGAAGACTACAAACGGATGAAGAGACCCACAATACCCCTCTCTTGCCCATGGTGCAAGCAACCTCATTGGTATAAAGCGTAAGAAATACGAAAAAGATTGGTTGTCTCACACAGAGCTTGAACACCTAATTGATCAGGGACATATTGACCACCAACTATTTCACAAAGTCTTGTAAAATTTCATTCAAAGGCTCAAATTATATGGGTGCTCTTAAAGAAAAAAAAATTACCTATTGATTCCTTTTTCTTTTTTGGGGGGAGGGTTTAGGAAAAGTTCTAGGTGTGACGGTAAACACTATAAATTTTTTGACTAACCCTCATTGGAACACATATCTGGTAACTATAATTTTCTCATGCAAAGCGGTCTTAATTTTGGTGCATTTTATACATTACTTTTGGTCTTAATTTTCCAAAACGAGCACTCGCCATGAGAGCGGCATATTTGGGAAGTCAAAATCAAGAGGATCATCATCATCATCAGTCTTTTTCCAACTATTTCAGATCGGCTACATAAATCCTAGTCCATCATTTTGCTCTATCAATAATCATACCCTCAATGAAGCCATATGTCCCCATATCCTTTATCATTACTTCCAACCATGCCCTTTTGGACCTACCCCTCACCCTTTTTGCGTCGAAATCAAGAGGGATGTGCTTGGAAAATCAAAGGTAGAAAAACAAGGAAAGCACGAGGACCAAAAAGTAAGTTGAAACTATGGTGGATCCACCAATTCCTTCAAGCACAAAGAAAAAAGAACAAAGCTCATGAAGAAAATCTCAGCCACAAAGAGGTCAAAACCAACAGCAGAGATCGAATCATCAAATGCCCTTATTCCTTTAAACAAACCCACTATAACTTATACTCCTGTCACATGCTGCAAAATCATACCCACAACCAATCCAACACAAACCCTTGCCTCAAGGAACATACTACAGCAACTCCAACCATACTCCATAAACCAGAGACCACTGAACCCATTTATGCAATGCTCCTTAAACCCTCCCAACCATTTCCACGAAATAATCTAACCCCACTACAAACGCCTTTCTCAAAATCGAATTCCATTTCAACCCACCCAAACCACTTCCTCACCAATCAAAACCAAGAATAACTGACAACAAAACACCTAGACCTCTTTCATCAAATCAACCTCAAACCAAGTTTTGCAAGAGAGTAAACTACATAACCCAAGCCAGAAGAAAGAAGCGAATGCCCAACAAGATAGCCAATGGAGCAAATCTCAAAGAGCACAAAAGAAATCCACAAGCCATTTCACTTGAACCAACAGGGCTTATCTCAAGCAACAGACAAGCAGGAGAAAGACCCAACAAGGAATAATTGCCCCCAAACTCACCAACTCCCCACTTAGTGGTTCCTGCCCATGGGCTTGGAAAAGCATGCATAGAACCATCCCCTCCATAAGATGACAAAGCCAAAGGCATGCTGGAGATGGCCTAAGAATCAACGTTTGGTTCGCCTCATGGTTAAATGAAGGGAATCTTGTAATACTATTTGGAGAAGGAATCAAAAGAGAATTGAAAATGAGCAACACCCACTGTAGTACATTCTTTATTTTGAGTACAAATGCCTTTTGTATTGATAGAAATGAGTAAATGTACAAATATTTGTATTCAAATGTATACCCAGAAATGGGATGAACTATAGTTGTTGGAAATGCCTGTGAACCCAAATCGTTTCAAAAATTGCGAACTGCTAGAAGATTCCAATTTTACAAATCAACATCCGTACAATGAGAATCACGGGGGTACGACATTCCTTATTTTTGGGAATCGCGACTCGACCAAACTAGAATCGAGATTCCTCCACTTATGGAATTGAGATTCCAACCTCTTTGGAATCGACCTATGAGGAATCAAGATTCATTTATATGTGGAATCAAAATTCCAACATCTATGGAATCAAGTTTCTAACATATGTGGAATAGATATTTGTACCAGTTTAGAATCAAGATTCCAACATCTTTGGACTCGAGTTTCTATCATATGTGGATCCGAGATTCATGCCAGTTTGGAATCGAGAATCATATCAGTATGCAATCGAGTTTGTTACCTACGAAAAATCGAGATTTTAACTCTATGGAGTCAAGTACAAAGCCCCATAGAAATAAGTTTTCCATATCAACACATATTAAGCCTTTTCAACTTAGAACCTATATCGAATGTCTTTTATTAGACTTGTACAAAGGTTCCTCAAATTTAACTTCAATGTGTTGGCTATTAAAATTAGCAAACAAATACTAGGAAAATTACATACAAAAAATAAAAATGCTTTCCCATGTATTTCTAAATTGTGATCTCCACTTCATTATTATATAGACAAAATAGGATTTTCTCTATGCCATGGTATTTATTGTATTTGTTATAGTTACCAATTATGTCTTGAAGGAAAGGCAGTCCAACCTAGCACTATTAGAAATGTGAATCGAGCCTGTGACCATTAGACGCATTCGAATGAAGATTTCTACTCCAATTACCATTAAAAAGTGGTAACCATTCAGGACATTGGATAGTATGTACTTTGAATTTGTTTTTTTTTCATCATTATTTTATTTTATTTTGTTATTTGCCAACATTCACATTAGGGGAATGATTTCATGCACCGGTTGTATAGTAATATGATGCAACAACCTTCAAAAACCATGGTATGGCTATTTGTGTGATCCAAATTTTGAAATATACACTCTTTTTATTCTAATGAACAATCACAAATAAGGAAAATCTCAAAACACAACCTAGAAAGTATTTTTTTAGCCTAATTAACATAGGCCATTCATTTGGTGAGATGCTTAGATCTAGGCCTTGAAGGGATTTTTTCATTTCCCATTTTTTTGGATGGCTTTATTATCATTAGATGAACAATGTTAAAAAAGAAAAAAAAATGATTTTGAGTTTATAAAGGCTAAGATATTGAAATTCACCAAATGAATGGTCTAGATTCGTTTTTGGAGGGGACTCATTTTGACCATATCTAGGGTTCAAATTGAACTTTTTCTTTTTTTGGGATTGATTATTGAGATGAAGAGAGTGTGTGTGCAAAATTTTGGGTCATACAAATACCACAAACATGGTTTTTTTAGAAGTGTCGTTGATGCAACCGTTGCATGAAATCATTGCCATTCACATTATACCATAATGGTATGCAATAAAAACAAAGTCTAAACATCGAGCACACATATGAATACCTATTGCATGAATTACAAAACAACACACGTGGATAAAGGGATTGCAATTTGAAGGTCAAACAGTAGCTAGAGTTTATATATTGCAAGTCACAAACAAAATAAAAGAGACAATACAGAGCTTTCACTCCACGATGATGGGAGGAGCTTATGTGCTTTAATTCTTTATTTTCAGACCTAGGGTCTACTGTCATGGAGCCGCTCCTCGAAGAGATGCTGAACAGTAGGAAATGCATTGAGGAGATTATGTTGTTGAAAGAGGACCTAAGCCTAACCTCTCAGCTCGAGCAACTCTTGTCTACTCTTTGGGTCGCTCGCGAGACTCATAGTGACATCTCTTCGTACTATCTTGTTGGACAAGCCAGTGCGACCCCTATTTACCCCCATCTGCCCCCTAGTGGACAAGGGGAGACCAACGCAGTTATACTGTACCCCAGGTTTATGGAAGAGGACCAGTAGCACTCTACTGGTCAATTTCTTTTTGCTATATAGCCCACATGCACTTAGGCATTTCAAAGGGGCCCTTTTGGCAGTGCTGCTCATGCAGCTGCTTGTCTTGGGGGTGTGCTCGACCTTCAAGGCCCTGTTTGTCTGCTCATGGTTGCTGCATCATTTGGGGTATGGTTTCTAGTTGGATGCATTTTTCACTCATGGGCTTTAATGGCCCCATCACCAAGTGAACTTCCACTTTGGAGGTCCCTCTCTCTTAAACCTCACATAGTGAATGTATCTCTCTCTCTCTCTCTCTCTCTCTCTCTCTTTTCTTCATCTTCTTCTTCGCCACTTCCCTGGTGGCAGGGACTTTACTATCTCATCTCTTTCTTTAACACATGGCATGGACATGTATACATTATCCTGAATTTCAATTAATATGGGCTGGGCGTTGAGGGCAAGCATCCCAAATAGAGAGAAA